TTAAAATTAGATTTTATACATTCTTACCTCTTTGTATGCATAATCCACGCTTATTGAAATTTCTTGTAATTTATGTTTTCTTTTATATACACGTTCTCTTGTATTTTTACAATGTTCACAAATAAAGTTATCAGTACTCATCAAATCCCCATTTTCAGCTTTATATTTTTCGAGTTTTTTATCTAACATAGAACATAGTTTTTTACCGAAATGTTTCAATATTATACAATCTTTTCCAGATTTTAACGGCAAGGGATATTTTTTCAATGTAACTAATGCTTTCGAAAAATGGTATTGCAAATCAGAATTTCTGGATGCAGCCTCTTCCCGCCATTCTTTTAACCAAAGTTCAAACAAGGGGTTTGGTTTTTTCAATTTAAGCTTCACTCTTTTCATGTTCAATAACCTTTCTTATACTATAATATACATTAATTGTTTCTCATCTTATGAGTGATACTGCACTCATTAATAATATATTAAATTTCATAACAAAATTTTATAAATTTTGATTGAAAAACACAGATATATACTCGACAAACATCTCGCGTGGACAGTTTACTAGTCAGCTGTTCCATTCAGGTAGAATTCACTAGTGTACTAGGGTATTTTTGACGGTGTCGGTATTTCAGAACTTTAGGCAAAACAATACATCGCACGGATCTTAAGCCTATATTTTTTGGTATAAATGATTTTAATAATTAGTATCTAAATGCATAGATCAATTTATAAACGATTTCTTAACTGGCCTTTTACTATGAACGTGGTATAAAATACACGTATTGTAGAATATTCAACAATTTTTGTAGAAAAAGACAATTCATGTTTCTCTAAAAAGAAAAATATTACTAACACTAAGTATAGACCACTTATATTTATTCCACTTTGAATTTGAAGTTTATAATCTTCTTCTGTATTTTGAGATACATGTAATATCAAACACAGTTAACAGCTATAGTTATATTATGCTGAAAAGAATCTTAAATCATTAACGGGATAAATCTCATCTACTTATAAATTATTTACTTCCTCCAACAAGAATCGTTTCCAGGCGCTGTACAGTCGGTGAAAAAGGGAACACAATTAAATTATCGATAGTTTGCGTTTGGTATGTATGGAATTCCATAAGACGGTCAATGTTTGTAGTGTAGCTGAAAATGAAGTTAAACGCGCAATTCTGGTAATAACGTCTTAAATAAAAAAATAAATAAAGAATATCTGGAAAATGATGAATAAGTCGAGCAAGCGTAAATGGACTGCGGATATATGATCCCAATAATTGTCTGTGAGGTATGATCTCATTTCCTGGTAAATCATGCGTCCAGTAATCAAATGTATCTTTCTCAATTGACAGTGCTTCAATCATTAACGTTTCTTTATTGTTACGGATGTTTCTTTTTTTTGTTGAAGTATACAATTAAATAATATTATTGACGTTACATAATAAATGACAGTTACTAAAATTTATTAAACACATCTACGAAATGTAACAACATATCGGCACAGTTAAGAATTTGTAACTATTTTACAAAAAGAAAATCTGGTATTGTTGTTCTCACGTATGTACATAGTTTACATTAGAAATATAGGGTGTACATGAAATGCGTAATATAATTAGTTTAATATTTTGTGTAAAGGAACATGAGTTGAAATTTTTCCTGTAATAATTTGTTGCAGTCATATATGTGTGGATAGAATTTAGAAATGGCAACTGGAAGTAGCAGTTTTATAAGTAAACCAGCCAGAGGTTGGTTACACCCTGATCATTTAGTCAGTAAAGAAGGAATTACTTACACAGTGAAGGTAAGTATCTTATCTTTTTTAATGAGATGTAATACTTTGATACTTTTCAATCTAAATTTCCAAAAATTCAATCTTGCAACTTGTAATACATATTTAATGAATTTTAGTACATAGGATGTCTTGAAGTGTACACGTCCATGAAAAGCTTAGACTTCGAAACAAGATCTTGTGTTGCCAAGTAAGTTTTTTAATATTTTTTTGTTTTTTTTATTATACATACATTTTCTTTAGTTGCTTTATAATAATATTTTATTGTTCTAGAGAATGTATAAATAGAGTTTGTGAAGCAGCAGGATTAAAATCTGCAGATAAGAAAAGAAGGGTATTTACTTAAACAGATCAAAATGTTATGCTTACAGCGCTGTTTGTATTTTCAATGAAAAGTATTAATATGCATTGTTTAGGTGGATAAGAAAGTGCTTAAGGCAATAGCAGACAAGCCTCGCATGGAGCATACAGGTGCTACTATAAATTTAACTATTAGCAGTTGCAGTTTAGCCTTAACCAATATAGAAACTGGACATACCATTGCCAAGCATGAAATGCCGCGAATATCTTTTGCCTCTGGTGGAGATACGGTAAGTTATATTTTATATTGTCCCGTGTTTAATTCTGTTTTTTACATATCTTATACAGTTTTAAAGTATAAAGTAATTATGAAATTTGAGTAGGAAATATTGGACTTTGTTGCATACGTTGCAAAGAATATGCAAGAGTGGCGTGCTTGTTACGTATTAGAATGTGGAGGTGGATTAGCACAAGATGTTATATCCACTATTGGGCAAGCCTTTGAATTACGATTTAAAGAATTTCTTACAAAACCAGCTTCATTACAGTAATTACAATCGTTATTTCATATTTTTAAGCAACCTATTATTGTAAATTTAACTTTTTGCCTAATACTCTTTTTCTTACAGCCCTATGTTGAATGGTATGCGGGAAGCAGACAGAGATTATTATAATGATCTTCCAGGCAAGGTACCACCCGATATAGGACCTCCACCAGTACCACCTTTACCAACTGCAGCATCAACGTTACCCAATTTAAAACATCATTCTGGACAAAATCATGTAACACGAAGCAATGCACAAAATTCTGTTCTGCATGACTCATTTTCTTCCAATTCTGACAGACATCAGCAGTGGGCAGGTAAAAATTACTTATAGCTTTTGTTATAATATTAGTAAACAGTAATTGTATTGTAACTTATAATTTCATACGTTCAAAATAAATTTTATTTTTTTAGAGACTGGTAATTTAATTGATTTAAATTCTGATGGTACCACTGCAAATTTCAATATGCCTCCAGAACATAATTACGTAAATGACAGTGTAATAGCAGCAAACAGAGAAAGCCATCGTGATCAAACATCACTTTTCGATGTATTTGATATGCGTAAGTAATATTTATTTATTACGGTTGTTTTTTTCTCCTTGTTAAATAAGTATAACAAAAATCTTTAAATCTTTACATTATTATGTATAACTTTTTAGAACCATTTAGTTCTGCAATCTCAGATATGAATAGATTAAGTCCACATTCTCAAAAGCAACAACTAAAGCAAGAAATATGGTTTCACGGCAGCGTTAGTCGCGCTGAAGCAGAGTCTATGCTTACACGAGTAAGGACAATGAAAGTTAATATACAAAAAATGTTATTTTCAATTTAATAAACGTATTATATTATTTCAATAGGATGGCGATTTTCTGGTTCGTGAATCTCAAGGTTCACCGGGCCAATATGTTCTGACCGGTATGAATAATGGAACACCAAAACATTTATTGTTAATTGATCCAGAAGGTGTTGTAAGTATTTTGGAAAAATGGATATATTGTTAATATAAAAGATTTCTTTTTTATGGAATAGAATCTTTAATTAATTTTCATTTTTAGGTTCGCACAAAAGATCGGGTTTTTGATAGTGTAAGTCATTTAGTTAATCATCACTGTGACAATGTATTACCAATTATATCAGCGGACAGCGTTTTAGTACTTCGTCATCCAATTCCTAGACGTACAAATAATTAATTTGTACAGAATTATACTAGTGTCCAAAAGAATAGGTACTATTCATATTTGATATCTCATGATTGCATTAACACTTAATATAAAAGAATATCGTTGCCTCGTACGATGCTTTCAGTAATAATTAAAAAAGATCCGTCAATCGATATAAAGAACAGATATACTGAAGATTTTAGGCTATCAGTATTTTTACTTTCAAATTGTAACTATGCTAAAGTGTAGTTTATCAAGTTTTCCTCTATATTCTTACTATAAAATGAAGAGATGTTAATATCTTACAAATAAAAAGATTTAATAAATGTCACCTTACTATTAATAATAATGATGTCAAAATGCACAAAAGGAGATTATATTCATAATTTTTTAAATTATTACTGTTTATGAAAATTGGCACATTGGATGCAGAAAATATCTAAATGTATCAATTGTTTTGATAAAGAATTATATCTGCAAGTGATATAATTAAAAAGAAGATAGCTTTCATATTATTTTCCATGCTTTATTTATTAATTTTGATGTTATACAAATTTCAATAATTTTTCTGTAAATCTATTCTATTGTAATATGAAAATATTTTATAAATATAAACACTTTTAGTATCATCGAAGTATTTAAAAGTAAGAATTTTTCGTGAAACTTAAATTAGATAAATTTTTTTAAATTTGGCAAAATAAATTATTTAATATAATTCAATACTATACCAAATATTATATTGTTTGATTAATTATATACAATATACGATTATGCCATTCATTTTCATGTACATACAAATCTGAAGATAGATTTTTATATGTACTATTAATACATCTCAAAATGTGCCACAATCTCAAATGATAATTCACTTCACCGAGTAAAATAGAACAATATCTTTAAATTTGTATGTAATTTGTATCATATAGATCATGAATTTCATAAGGAACACTTTTGTGACTTTATTAATTTCATGTTATAGGTCTTATTCTACAATCATTCGAATTAATATGCAAAGATATATATTTTTACGAATTTTGTATGTTTCTTGTTATATATTATTTTCATTTGACATTTGTAAAACATTTACCACTTGTAATTTTAATCTTTAATAGATTGAACATGTTTCATATTTACGTTATTTTCTCTTTAAAAAAATATATTCCATTCCAAGTATTGTATCCCTTATGTTGTTTCCTAAAATACTTATTGTATTTTCCCACTAAATAGACTACATTTCTTTATTAAAAAAACTATATTTACTAAGTAAGCATTAATAGTCTCGCTAGCGCCACTTGTCCATGATGGTACCAACAAGTATTATGTTATATTCGGCAATATATTAAACCTATTATTGTTTTTATTACAAACTAATTCATAAATACCTTTTAATTCAGAATTAGAATTACATGCGCAAATACGTATTTATTGTGATATCAGTATTTGTTAATAATAAGTAATTAAATGGTACTGTTATTATTTACATACTGGAATTCCATTCATGTTACACAATAATTTAAAACAGTAATTACAGTACTGTTGTTAAAAATAAAGACATTTAAATTAGTAAGAAAATAAATAAATTAACAAAGTTAATATTCGTGTGTGACAATGTCAGAATACGATAAAGTGAAAACGGGAAAATTGGTGTTGAAAGGTGAAAAAATAAGGTACTAGTTAACCTCTCAACTACATGGTTTACTAATGTTTTCTTATCGTAATTTTTCTTTTACATTTTATAGATCGAAAAAGCGTAAATCTAAAAAACAAGAGAGAGAACATGTTATTACTACTGATAACAAAGACACTGTAATTCATGGTATTTGGATAAATTATAATATTATTTACAATGTTATTTAATCCACTACAAACTATTTTATTGTGGTTGAATTTTAGGTGGATGGTGGAGAGCTACACAAGTGTCAGAAGTGACAGGAACAGTAGCAATTGAATTTGGAAGTAACACCTATATGAAAGCTTTAGATAATGGGTTATTTACTTTAGGTGCTCCTCATAACGAAGGCGAAGGACCTTCTCCAGAAGAAATTCTGACAGCATTTCCAGTAAGCGAAACAAAAGTCGCACTGAAGTCTGGTTATGGAAAATATCTGGGTGTTGATAAGAATGGGATTGTTATTGGAAGAAGCGATGCAGTGGGCATGATTGAACAATGGGAACCAATTTTTCAAGTATTTTAATGAACACTTATGTAACAAAAGATATTATAATGTGCAATTAAATTTTATTTATTTTGTTTTCAGGATAATAAACTTGCTATATTAAATAGCAATAATTGTTTCATATCGCTTACAGAAGAAGATGACATTGTTTGTCAAAACAAAATTGCTGGACCTTCAGAGTTTTGTACTATAAGAAGTATAATTCAGAAAACTCAAGATCCAAATAAAGATATTCCAAAGGAAGAACAAGGTTCTTTACAGGATGTTGAAGTAAATTATGTGTAAGTGAAACAAAATTAATTGTAAATTTTTTATGAGTTGCTAATGTAATTATTTCCTTTTTAGGAGGAAGTTCCAGAAATTTCAGGATAAAAAGCTAAGAATAAGCAAAGCAGATCATACAGAATTAGAAAAAGCTAAGCGTGATGGAAATTTACATGAAACTCTTTTGGATAGAAGAAGTAAAATGAAAGCGGATCGATACTGTAAATAATTTAGGAATACTAATGTTGTATGCGTTTTAAGTGAATTTTTAAATTTTAATTAATGTAATTGTAATAAAAATTCTTGATTTCCAAAATGTATGTATTTATCTATTTTATCTATTAGAATTTTTATGTATGTAGTTAAATAAGAAATTATTCAAGAAACACTGCTTATTATTAAAATCACTTCTTATATATGATTATTTTATATTTATATTTGTGCAACCGATTTCAATATTCAAGAAGTCGGCGTATTAGTAAAATATATTAAAGACAGGGTTTCTTACATTAGATTTATTAACGTGTTTTACTAGAAAATTCAGTAGTGAAGTATCTCATAAAATATTCATTTTTTTCGTATAAAAATATCTTATAGTGTAAAATAACATGTTAGTTTATTTTTAAATTTTCTTTTACATTTAAATTTACGCGTCTCAGCAAGAATGCCAGCGAAAGAAACGTGGATTTAATTGGTCAGTTTTCATCTGTTCTCATTTCATTTTCGATATTAATTTGTTATTCGTCAATAGGGTTACATATAACCAATCAGAGTAACAGAGTTGCCCCTGTGTCGTTCTGGGACTCTTAAACAACACAGAGTATTATACTTGCAGTTGCATTCACAGTGATACTACTTGAAGCGTAAAAGACAGACTACTGAAATTGATTTTTACACCGGAGTAAACAAATATTTTATGTTCGACTATACTACTGTGTATGTTAATTATAAAACATGAATAGCTTCGAACAAATAATTAACGAATTAGAAAAGGCTGCACAAGTAATTTTAGTAAGTTTATACTCTTAAAGTAATTTTTTTCTTTCGTGTAGGTTATAATAAATTTGTTTTATGAATACATTGCACTAAATGTCATGCATTATAAATTTAGCATTTATCTGGTATATTAGTATCATTTTATTTTTTAATATTACAGACTAATTTGCAAATATAAATATTGTTTTAGAATTTTGAAAGGTACATGTTTTGAGTGAACAAGTAATGTAAACAAGTAAACAGTAGCACATTAAGTGTAACTTTAACTTATGCAATTTAAGTACTCACAATTGTATATAATATAATTATCTTTTAGTCTTTTAAAATTCTCAAGAAGGGTTTTATGTATGTATAATTATTTTCTTTATTCAATGATTTTATAATATAATAATAATTGAATTTTTCTAATACATTAATGCTTTGTACAAGTTAAATTATATTTATTATTTATAATAAATGAAGTAAGGTATATGACAACATTTTTGAACTACTAATATTCATAGTAATATTATATTTTCAGGTATCACCAAATTTGATCACAACAGAACAACGACGATCTGCAGAGGAAGTTTTTTTAAATTTTCGGAAAACTAAATCTCCTTATCAGCTCTGTCAGCAAATTTTAGAAACAAATACAAATGATTACATCCTTTTTGAGACAGCTGGTCTTTTAAAGTTAGCATTGACACGAGAATGGTCAAGTTTATCAAACCAAGATATTTGTTCTTTAAAACAGTACCTTTTAAACTATTTAATAAATAAACCACATTTGACTACATACGTCAAAGGAAATATATTGCAAGTTATTGCAATCATAATAAAAAATGGTAGACTTAATGATTCTGGACAAAAACAGCAAGAATTTTTAAATGAAATTGAAAACCTAATAATGACTGGTGATTTACCAAAAGTAAATGCATCTATGTATATCTATGCTGTTGTTGTGTACAAAAAAAACTTTTTATCATGTATTTTTAATGTTTATAGAAAGTTTTAGGCTGTAATCTTATATCAGCTTTATTACAAGAATATGCGTTAGATAAATCTTTAGATCTAGATTTAGATCTAGATTTCATATTGGACACTGGTTGCAATGAGAGGAAAGAGTTTATAAATGTTACTTTAAAAAGAATTTTTAAGTTCAGTCTTGAAATATTTAACGAATTAATTAAAAAGGATATATCAGAAGAAACGCTGGTGCTTCTCAAATATTTGCTTCCAATTGTTGAAAGCATACTTACTTGGCAGTTCAATATCCTTCTTATAATTAAATACTTTACTTTTACATATTTACAGTTTAAGTTTTTATGACTTCTAAAATTTATTAAATTCCTTAATTCCTATTGTACGCTACGCGAATGAAACTGTAGAGCTGTTTTTTACGTTATATTGGAAAATCCGAGGTAATCTACAAGTAGCCCGTTCAGCAAGAACTTGTTTGGTACAACTGGCAAGTTTAGGTGGTCCAATATTTTCATCTAAAGAAATCAGGGCCCAATATTTCTCTAATTATATTCGGAGGTTTCTGGAATTTATCACAAATATTGATGTCATTGATGAAGAAGCATCTGCAATTGCTGATATTGTAAGCAATTTGACTAGAGCAATTCATGAAAATATTGTATCTTTACCTGAAGATATATTAAAAGCATTTTTGGAACAAATATGCAGACTAATTTGTTTATATATAGAAAACTCAGCGCAAGAAGAATTTGTAAGTTATATAAAATATCCTTTAATTATAAAGGCTTAAATTGAAGAATTACTTTTATAGTAGTATAATTGTTATTAAATTTTGTATCCATTATAGTTGTGCTCAAGCGAATGTTCATACTCGGAAGGCTTGGATGTTTTATTCGCAACATGGATACATATTACATCGAGGAATACACCTGATACAAGAATGATGAGACTAAAAACATCTGACAAACTAATTTTGGTGTCTGATGGATTTGTTAAACCAATTTCTATGCAAATATTTAACGTATATCTTCAGTGTCACTTATGTACACCAGATGGTATAAGAAATCTAAAAACTAAAGAGTTGAACCAGAAGGATGATGACACTGAAGATGATAAAGTTAGATTTAAGGAACAATTACAAGCGATTGGTAAGTTTTATATTTACATTTTGTTTTGAACATTTTCCATTATTTTAAAATATTTTCTTTCTCGTGGGAAAAATTTATTCATTCCCCAATCCCACTATTGATCACAGGGCATTCTATATACAGGGTGATTCCAGCAACTAAGCAGAATTATACCTTTGTTTCAAATGAAAATAAAAAGAAAGTCAAAGGAAAATTTTATATGGTGAATGCATTGTATTATACAGTCTTTTTTTGCAAGTACATTGTTGCATTTGAATCTATTTTTTAAATGGTACTATACCATATATAGTGTATATACTTAATCCTTAAAACAATCTGCATAGAAGTGGTGGGACATGAGATCATTGGAAAGTTAAAAGTTTAATAATTATTTCACTATCCTGGTTATTAATATTGTATTTATAATTTAATGCCATTTTTTTCATAATTCTTAAGTGTAGTTCATACAAAAGACTCGAAGTATAAAGGAAGCTCGATACCAAACAGTGTAATAAAAAATGTTGTGAGACATAAGAAGGTGTTTGTGATTTAATAATCAGATGTTGAAATACTTGTGATTTAAAAATTGTATGGCAAGGGGTGTTAATATAATGTTTTTTTTTATTATAGGTTATTGTGGAAGACAAGCATTAAATCATTCTCTTTCATTATTGTCACATTTAATACGAGATCGTACCTGTAAATTACATGAAAATTTTAATAATTTAGTAAGACATATTGAGTCTCTGCATACCTTAAATAATGCTCATATGGCTAGATTATATGAAGACATACACTGGCTGTTACTTGTAACAGCTCATGTGCTTTGCATGGAGTCTACTGGAGAGATTGCACTAATACCTACAGAAATAATAAAGTATAGTATGGAACAGGTCAGTAAACAAATTATAAATTTAAGAAATATGTAAGTTAATTTCATTTTATGAATTTTAAAATATATAAAATAAACCATAAACGAATGTGTGTTTTAGGCGAACCAAGGAAAGATCAATGTAGATCTTACACTACAACTTTTAGTAGCTTCAGAGGATGTTTCATCAGATATGAATGTTGCTATAGAGTCAATCGATCATGTTATTCATTTCGTCACAAATATTTTTCGTTTGTGTGCTATAGAAAAGACTGCGATATCTGTTGGCTTGGGCAGTGTACTAAGTCCTGTATTAAGTTGTACTATAGTTTGGTTTTTGCAAAGGTGGTCTTTTAGTTACCTTTTACCTAGAGAAAAAGATTACTTTGAAATAAGCCCCACATTTTTGGAAGTATTTGGAGAAGATAGTCATGGCGCATTGTGGGCTATAAACTTTCTTTTAGATAAAATAGAATATAACATTAATTCTTTTAGAAGTGAGCCCACAATAATGCAAGAAACTATAGAACTGTTAATATCTCTTGTTACTTCAAAGTCAAAGTAAGTATGAAGTAATAATTTAAAATAGTTAGTAGTGTATTGGGAACTGATAATTCTTTGTAACACATATTTTTAAATGATTTCTATTCGGGAATTTTTTTTTCTTTATCTTAAAGTAAAGTAAAAAGACAGAATATTTTATTCAATACTACTAGATCGTGTTTTTCTACTCAATATTTAACAAAACAAACAGTTTATTCCATATAAATTTAATTATTTTAAAGTTTGATTAAGAAAATTGTAAAAACGTCAGTCTATTTTTCAGAGCAATTTATATATTGAAATCTGTACGATATAAGTCTATATGGAATCTAGCAGTAAAAGAACGGCACGACTTCTCACCGGAGGTTAAGAGAGGATTAACGCAAGCAGTGATTCAATGTGAATTCGTAGGTCTACATTTAGGAAAAGAAAAAGATGAAAAAGAAGAAGAGAATTACTGGGCACGGATTTTACATCCGCTCGGGGACAGATGTATGCAAATTATGTCGGATGAAAAATTCTTAAAATCCTATCATCGAGAAGAAATTAAAGTACAAATTATAGATACTTTGGATCGTTTAATTGGTAAGTTTTGTCTTTTTCTATTCAAAATGATTACACATTAAATATGTATTAATGATTATGTTCATAAATGTATCGTATTACAAAGTTTCTATATATGTAATAGGAGTTGTACAGGGATGTGAACATTCAATGCAGTCGTCTGGAATATTGATTCAATGTACATATCCGATACTAGAAAAACTTCCACAATTACTATCTTTATATCATAATTATCAAGAAATAGTGGAATTAATTTTGGAATTACTTTATAAAGTCTCAAAACCAACGCTTTTTCTACAGTCGTTTGAGGTAAAAAAAATATTTAATTATCGTATACCATTATGAATAATATTACCCAAAAGAATAATATTATTAATTATGTGATTTTAGTTGCATTTTGTAATTTCAGATCCGTAGAGAAATACGCGAAATATGTTTAAACGCGATGCAAAGATACGTGTTTTGTAATAGTAATAAATTTACAAAAGACTTAAATTCTGAAGAAAGTTATCAAAGTATTCTTTTGTTAATGAAACTGTTAAAAAATATGTTAAATATAGACGCCTTTTTACGTGGTTTTAATATTATTGTACCCATATTGAGTATGGATTTATTAAGGTTTCCGTCGTTATGTTCGCAGTAAGTACAGATATGTTATTCTTGACTTTGTAGTCAAATCGATTAAATTTTCTGATTCTGTACATTATAATTAAATAAATACCCGATTGTTTTCATTACAGCTACTACGAAATTTTTGAATCTCTTTGTATGCGATATCCCAAGGAAACGTGTCAATTATCTCCCGAATTATTACGGTCACTTTTTGCATCTGTGGAATGGGGTTTATTTTCCAGTGACCAATATACGTTTAGATTGTGTTGTAATATAATTTCCAGTTTAGCAGAGCATATCAATTTGCATACGCCAAATAATGGTCCACGAAATCAGATGCTAGTACCATTTTTAAATGTAATCGTTATTACATTTCCTTTATCTTGATACAATAATATTAAAAGTATTAAGCGTTTATTAAGTAAAGTACATTTTGTTTCAGATACTGATGAATGCATTTTTGTCGAGACAAATTAATGCAGATTTAATAGGGGAAGCAAGCGGATCCCTTCGTAATTTATTAATTTGCTACCCAGAAGAATATAAACAATTTGTACAAAACATTTTATCTACTCAGGTGGATCAACAGTTTATACAAAGATTGGCGGACACTTTTACAAAACTTACTACGACTGTAAATAATTCAGAAGAATTTGACACTAATGTGAAATTACTTGTGACACTCGGCATTGAATTGAATAAAAGATAAAATGAAAAGCATAACTTTGTGCATTGCATACATAATGCATTATCGTTCGGTATAAAATGTATTTTACTATAGATATTTTTTGACAATTGTTACATTCGAATTAGCGTATGCACGATGGAGTTCTCGAAAACATAGGTATAAACTCACTCAACACGATTCCCCGACGTTTAATGATGAAATAAAATGCATTAAACATAATCTAGCTTGAATGTATCTTTTGTCCTGTACTTGAAATGTGTTTTGCAGAAAAAGAAGTAACTTTAAGCAGTACAAAAACTTAAAGAGGCAGGTTCGCCGTGATAAAGATTTGTTAAGCATACAAGCTTTTTATTGACCGATTTATTACACGTTACCACTTACAGTGAGCCTAGCGAAAATCGAATAATAATAATAAATACAAGTTACAGCATCGATGCATGTTTCTCATAGCAAACGATCAGAAATGAAAACATTTTTTTGCAATAGATTTTTTTAGTTACCTTATAAACAAGTATATGAACTTACATACTTGGTACAGGTCAAATCATCATTAATTTTTCGCCTCCGAATGATCTTTGACATTTGACAAAATGCTTACGTTAATATTAAATTTATTTATATATTTATATAATATACTTTATCTGTATAAGGTGTGTATATATATACATATATATATATAGTTTTTTAAATATATATATGTATATATACATATGTATATATATGTATATATATATGTATATATATATATGTATATATATATATGTATAAGCAAACATATTCTTTCGCATTTTCTCCCACCCTCGCGTACTTTTTCATTCTCTCGTTTTTGCGATCTTTCTCTCACTCTCATTCTCTCCCTCTCTTTTTCTCTCTCTTTCTCTCTCTCCCTCTCTCTCTTTCGTGCACG